GTAAATCGTAACAAAAACAGTTTAGCAAAAATGAAGCAAAAATATAACCATAAGTTACAAAAAAAATTTATAAAAAACTATACCAATGTCGTAGAATGCCAAAATCAAACGAAAAAAGACGAAATTGTAAAGAAATGAACTTGAAGACTAGATTATTCGCCAAACCATATTCTGTGCCATTTGCTCAACCCTCATGACCACGTAGATTTCATAATGAAAAGAACTTTTTTTTTGCAAAACTTTTTTTTATTCGCACGCGCGCATCAGTTTTGGGGCTCCCGGAGGATGTCATCCATATAATCAAATCAACATGGCCTAAGACATAAGAAAGCTTTATTAGCATTGACAGACTCACGAAAAATCTGACTTATCGCTAATTTACAATACAATATCAAAATTTCACGGAGGATTAAAAACCTTAGACAAACATTCAGTTATAATGACATCATTTACAAAAGTACAATTTAGAAATTACAGAAATCAAATTATAGATGAACATACATATTCAAAAATTACGGGTGGAATCATTTTTGAGATTTGTTATAGAGTACTATTGCTTGGTACAAGAAAGATTGTTTCAGTCTCTCACGGAAGAGCCTTATCGAAAGTTTGCCATGTTCTAGTTCCAATTCCTGTCTAATAATACGAAAGACCAAAGGTACAAGTTCAAACTGACCCGATGAAGCCTTGTTGAACTTGTAGCTTTGGTCTTTCGTATAATAATGATATTAACAAGATGGTTATTTTTCCTTCTACCTTCTTGCAGGTGAAACCGGTAACGGGCGGAAGATGAAGGCCACTTTACAGCTGGAGCATGACGGGGGGTCGATCACTATATCCCTGGGGAGGGTCCAAGTGGACCGGGACGACATCCGCACCACCAGTCTGAGGGACACGCTGTGTTACGTCTTAGAGAACGTCAAAGTGTCGTCTCGGGAAAGAACCAAACTGCCGCCAGGTGAGAGCTCTCGTATTCGTCTGTCGTGACTCAATAGATTTCAAAAGTTGGGCAAAATATAGGAGCTGAAATATAGACATTGGCCGCATTGGATCTGATATTTTTTTGCAGAAAGTCTGTGGCTCCCCCCGTCCCTGATGACGGATGGTTGTAATGCCCTGAAGTAGATGGACTCTTTAACCCCTCCTGCAAAAGAGTCCGCTTCTGTGTCCAAGATTCTTACTTTATCCAATGAGACCTAAGATACAGATTATATTCCAGGCTTGGAGATGGAGGATCAGAGCCACGCCCTGGCCAGCGCAGGAGTGACGTCAGAGATCTCCGGGCTGGGGAGGGACACAGACAACCTGTGTCCGGTGCTGGGGGTGCACGTCTACGTCACTTCCGTCGTGCCGCACATCAAACCTTTTCTGGACGTAGCGAACGCCGCACTGGGGGAGATGGCGCGATGGCAGGTGGGGGTTGGCAATTAATATGTATATAGTTATACAGTATAGACGTTCGTATTAAACTACCACGAAAGCTACCACATGATTGTTTCCCACAGGGGTACAACCTTAAACTTTAAAGTCTAATGTCAACATACATCTGTCCTCACTTGCTGTACAGTAACCCAAAACATATAAGTGGCTCCCATGAGCCTTGTTTTGTGGTGAACTATTAAGTAAAAAAACTATAGGATGCGTCATAATAACGTCACCTACAATGATAACCGTGAAGCTTTGAAAGAGGTGAATATGTCCATCTGTAAGATTGTGTATCTATCATACATCGTCTTATTTCTTTCCTCACAGAGAGACGTCCGTCTTAAAGAAGCGGTGGCCTACTTGCAGGAGCTTGGCGTGGAAGTGGTCCGGGTGTCTCCACACTCCGCCTCTAGTGTCGTCTTCGTGGTCCTGAGCCGCAGCATGACGTCACTCACGTCGCTATGGGAACAGTACCGGCAGGGTTACCTCCGGCGGATGTTCCAGCGGACCCTGGTGAACGAGCGGCTGCTGAGGAAGATCAGCCGGCGGACGGTGCCGCGGATAAACGTCAGGAACGTCACCGTGGAGACGTACATGAACGAGGAACATTACAAGTTCAGTAGGAACAGACTGCAAATGATTAAAGACCAGCTGGTACCTTCAGACGGTTTGGTGAGGGAGTCGCTAAGAATCTAGAGTTTGCAAAGACTTAAGACCTGTGCCGCGTGTCAATGTCGGCGTCACCATGGAAATGTAGGTGACATACGAACGTTACAAGTTAGGTAGAAACAGACTCCAGTGATGACGGACCAGCCCATACCTTCAGACGGTTTGGTACGGAAGAACGTAGACTTTACTGAGACTTGTTTCACTATTACTAACGCTACTATAAACAGGTTACGCTTGGGAACCACATAATCAATTATCAGAACAATTATCAGGAGATTGATGAATTTTCAGCTTAAGTCTTGCTTATTAAAACTTTTTTTAATAAGTCAAATGAAATAAAATGGCTTAATACTTTATCAAACCACCCACGTCGTGTCATTATGTCTATACAAGGACGTTCTATTTGGTCTATACTACCATCGGATGTAAACGAAAACCACTCCAATATTTGGCTACTTTTCATCTATGTGTAGTATAGTAAGAAACACACTCAGCTCATACATTAGCCCAATTCTACATTATTCACCCAAATGTTACTAGTACGGCAAAGCAATGTCAAAAGCGCTACACATATTGAAGGTTGTACCTCCTGACAACATTACTGTTTATCACTGAGCTATGGGACTTTTAAAGACTAGTTGGGAACATCGCAGTCCAACTCCCAACCATAGATGGCCTTGCTCCCGACTAACTCCCAACCTTGGTCTGTAGAAGGTCGTGAGGCTAAGGTTTCTAATGTGTGACTGCGGCTACCCTTACCTTGGTAGTGGTTGCCGTCTGAAACGTCTGACTCTCCAGAAAATTTATCCAGTTACATAATTCATTTGTATTACGTGACACATAAGTCACATGGAACGTCACTGTATCCTTTCGATTTACACAGGTTCAGTTTGAGATTTTTGCCATTTCAGGAAACACAAAAATCATATTAATGCTTGGAAGGGGGACCATTTGCCAATTTTCTTCTTCTGAGGTCGATTTCCATGATAAGGTTCATTTTGGTGTTATAATATGCTAAGTCGTTGCCTAACTCGTTGCGCTGGCGGACTGCGAATCCAATACAACCTAAGGAGGCAACCAGCGCAAGGGCAGCAATACTGATCTTTTCCCGCATACCCTCTAGCCGGCAGCCGGCGATACCAGCAGCTATTGACGCGAATAACGTGATTTTTGTCGCTCCATCCTTGTAACCCTTCCTCATCTCATCGATTTTACGATTCAGAGTTTCGAGCTCGTCTTCTGCTTTCTTCAAACATTCGATGCAAGTGTCAAACACGGGATGAATGTCGCTCTGGATTGACTTGTACCTCTGCAGAGCCCTTTCTGTTTCTGAGTCGTTGTCCAAGTTTACAGCCCTTTCCACTATTTCTATGGCTTCTTCAAACTTCTGGTCAATGCTCTCCATCTTGTCCTTTACAAAAGTTAGCTTAGAGTCAATCTTTGCCCATTCAACTGGACAGGCGTTCTTGATAGCGATCTGTTTCTCAGGATTTTCTGCGAGATACTTAATGAGCACCCACTCAACGAAATCAAACGCGAACTCGTAGACATTGAAAACAAGTTCCCGACCTCAGAAACAAGTTTCAGTTCATTTAGAAGGGTCCGGAAGTAGGATACCTTGGGTGGTGGTCGTGCACCCTCAGGCTGAGGTCGGCCGCCCGTGAATACATACTGTAGGTGCATATGAGGTCCCATCAGCCAAGACCACGCACAGTCACAAGGTACCAGTACCGGTACCGGTTGTGGCGGTTTTGGCTTCGCCTTTTGACGCTTATCTCTTGCCTTATCCAAGGTAACACGCATGATAGAAGACAGCTTAGACAACTTCACGTCGTCAACCGTACTCATTGCATCGGTCATGGCGTTTTGCAATGCTTGGGGCATCAACATACTCCTGAAACGAACAAAAATCAAGTTGATTGCTGAGAAAAGATACTCTCTGCTTTCTTGTTGTGACAAAACGTTACACAACCAATTATTTATCTGCATTATAAGTACATGTACATGTAAGCAACATTTGTTCGATTCATGACATGAGAAATCAAGACCCTTCACGTCAATAAAGCTGGCATCACACAGTAGGAAAATCATTCTTTTACTCTTGGTCACGTTGGTTTGATTTTTGCGATTTTCGCTCCGCACCCCCATTGATCGGTTTAGCAAATGCCACAAACCCATAGTGTAGAGAGAGAGAGCTGCACTTACGTGTTGATGGGGTGTAGGGACATGGTGAGCCTTGGAACGGGCGATACGGTCCTCTAGAAGAACACTATTGAATCGAAATGGGACTACTGTGGGGGATTAAAGTAAACGATTTGTAAGAACAAGAAAGAAATACAACAGTTTCAGGTCTTCCTCTTCTTGTTCAGCAACAACACTACAGAAATGCAACTAAATCATCTCAAATATCTGTTGACAAATGTTGATTTTGCCCATAACGGAGATGCCTGTTTGTCCACGATAACAGGTCTGCTCTATGTATCGAATGGCGACACCTGTGGTGTAAACACACTAACGTCTGAAAAATATACCAGTAGTCTGGCTGGAACGATGCCAAAAAGCACACAAAAGCCCTCTAGAGCCATGGTTCGTCAAATTATCCAATAATACTGGAAAACCTGCCAGATGAAACGTCCCTTCCGAATGATTTGCTCATGCTTCAATTTTGTCTCTTAAAAGTATTTAAATTTTAAAAGATTTTGTCTCTCAACAGGTGTTGACATACGATACATGCGCGAAGAAAAGTCATGTTGTTGTAGGTAACTGAATCTAAAGCTCCTTGGTATTTGGAAGCAGGGCCGCCATGTTTCTCAGCAGTGCTTGAATATACATCTTGTAGTCTAGACTGTACGTCTAAGAAATCTGCTGTTCTGAAGTTGAAAGATAAAATCAGTTCTATTTGAGGATTGTAACTGCCCTGCTGAGCGACCTATATGATATATGATGATACCGCTGGCGACCACACACTGTGCCGCTCTTTTTAACCTCCTTGCGCTATCTAACAGTTCTGTGTACTTTGCATAATAGTTTTTCATCCTCAATCTTCAAAATACTATGTCATCCTACGTCATACGTACATTCACTAACTTTCTGTGAATGCAAAATGCACCAGATGTACCTGAACAAGATCCGTACTAGTTTGACCGTCTTGTTGACGTGGAGCCTTGTTCCGGGTCGGAGTTCCAAATAGTGGGCAGTAAATCGCCGGATCTGCGAGGTTGTCACGCTAGGTTTGGCTCCCCATAGCTCGACGATCGTTGTAGATTTTCAAATAGGTTTTGAATTGATGAAAAAACCTTGTGTTTGTAGTGTTTTTCGGCGTGGTGAAGTTGGACGGCCAGCGAAGGTCCGAGACCTTGATTCTGTACCACGGACTGCCGTGCACCATCCTCTAGAGTACGCATGACCGGTGTTACCATGGTAATAACCATGGTGTTACGTAAGAAACGCGTCTGAAGGTCTCGGACTGGAGTTTCTTTTATGATTGTTGTATGCGACGGACACCCTCACGCCAGAGGGCTACATGTAGTTCCGCCAAGAAAAGGAGGCCGGAAAATCACATTATGTCAGTGAACAGCTGTTTCCAGCCGGCTTTCGATACTAGTTTGGGTATCGTCTGCTGCCTCTTTAATTGGGATAAAACCGCGTGTAAAATGTAAATTTTGGACCAGAAAAGTATCTTTTTTTACACTTTTTTTTCATCGGAGCTGCCTGGAAAAAAAGTCAGAGTAACGGCTTATATGCTGAAATAGCATATTACTTCATGTTTCTGAAAAATGAAAAAAAAAAGTATAGGTTGTTGGGATAACTTTTTTTGCAATGTCTGATGACGCAAATGCCTTGAAATTCCATATACTTAAGGATAGAATGGTGCCGTGTCAGCGTTCTAGAACGCGTGTGTAACCTAGCAACGCTATGTACGACTAAATAAAAGTTCTACGCAGTGGGCGAATCAGCCATGCATACACGTATCACGCATCATCTCTGAGAGTCTCCATGCAAATTGTGACATCCTATGGGTGCAGTCATGAACCCAATCGGTACTGTTACATTGGTAATAAACTAGCGGGAAGAGGGGCAGCTAGGATGCCGAAACACCGTCCGACTGAGATCTCACTCATCGACAATCTTCGTCTTCTGGCGGACGATCCAAACGTGGCCAGCGTCAGGTGGGGGTGACGGTGTTTTGTTTTCGGCTTTATATGTTTCTCTTGAGCTCACTTCCAAACAAAAAAGTCACTTGTTACGCCAAAAAGTAGTTACTCAAGCGTATATTACCTGGATGTCTAGCCTTCATATCAAGTCAGTTGTCAGAAACTTTCTTCCTTATTTACGACAGGCGCTGTGCTTTGCATTCTTATGACTAAAACTACAGATAGCGTTTTGAAAAACGCCACTACATGTTGATGATGAAAACTTGTAGAGGATAAACCTGCGCGTTTCCTACTTAGATGGGGGGAAGACGACAGGGAGTTGGTGCTGCGGGAAGGCAGGTATGTCGTGGAGGTGCTGAAGAGAAGAAACCGACTGCTGCCAGTCACCGTGTTCAGCACCCTAGCGGAGAAGATGGTTCAACACGGGCTCGTCTGGACGGAGTCCCGCCTCGTGGAGGGGGACGTGGAGCACAGCTTCAAGATGGAGGTATTCATGAAGGGTCTGAGAACTGATGTAGAGCTGGCTTCTAGAGTTGTGAATCTTTTTGCTAGTTTTGTATGTCTGCTGCATGTTGCTTTCTCGCCATGATGAAATGTACAGTGCCCTGGAGTGTTATTAAAGCACATAAAAGACCAGAAAGTTTACATTTGCAAAGCAAATTCACAATGTTTACCTTCGTATATGGTCTGCTCTGCCAATTCTTACTCAACACACATTCATATACTAGTATGGTCAGACAGGAGTCTAAATGATGTAACCCAACACTAGTTACCATGGTGACAGACGTATGGTTCAGGTCACTGACCTTATTGCAAGTTATTGGTATGGAGAAGAAGAAGAGAAAACGGAGCAAAAACAATATATTTTCGTTCGGTTAACATAGAAATAGTGTTTGACTTTCAAAGACAGTTCCTCGTCATTGTAGCTAAACCATCCCTGCCCACCTTGTTTCCCAGCACACCGAGCAAGACACAGACCTAAGACGCCTTGCAACAGACATCGTCGCGTCTTCCTCCATTCCGGACGAGTCGCCAGTCGGGTCCGTGCGTCCCCCCGCTGCCTTCCTCCCGGCCAGACGCCGTGTGTCCAGCACCATGCTGGTGGACGCCACGGACTGCCGCCGCTGGACTGGTCAGATCCCGGGCACGGACTCGTCACCGGACATCTCCGACGACGAGCTGACGTCATTCCTGGGCGAGGCCCGACCAAATAGCAGTGAGGAGGAGGAAATGGTCCGTTGGATTACATTCTGTCAAAAATCTGATTCAAAATGAAAGTTAACATCATATGCATCACGAATTGTTCAAATATAGTCATAAACACTCAGACCTATCGACCTTTCTTTTGACTAGACTTTCACCCTAAATATATTTCAGGAGCAGACAGTCTCTACAGTGTGCAAATAAGTAAAACGTTAGATAATGTGATATTAGAACATATTACGAGTACCTTAATGTCATCTTGGATCTTCAGGTCATGCAGCTGGAGAGAAATCTACAAGACTACACGTCCGGTTCCTCGAGCAGCGACCTTGAGACGCTGGGGTCTCCTGAAGACGTTGGTAGCAGCGACCTGCCCGCGTTTGCGATGGAAAAATCAGACGTTGAGCAACAGGATGAGAACCGAAATATGGCGAGGGCAAAAACACACGGGGAAACCGCCCCGGGAACATGGCTGCTTTCTCCTGGGGAGGTTCTGGACAGCAGCACTGCTAAGTTTGAAGTAGGAAACGTCCCTGTGTTTGATGGAGACGAGAAAGAACAAGAGCTGTTAAGAAAGATGTTAGCGGCACACAGACAGGAAGATCTGGTGGTCTGTCCTCCTGTTGTCTGTGAGAGCACTGCGGCGATGTCTGATGTCATCACATCTATTGTGCAAGAAGAAAAAGAGATGATGATGATGTCGAGCCCCCCGGGAATCTCTTCTAGTCTTCATGGCGATACGTTAGAAGGCAGCGATGACGCCAGACTGAGAGAAGACCTGCCAATCATAATACAAGAGGCGGGGTTTTCCATTCCGGAGATGTCTTTGACTAATCTAGAGGAACAGGATCTAAGTGACCCTCAGCGGACTAAGAAACGGAAAGTGGAATCTCCATCTTTCTTAACTCAACTTCTTACCGAGCACCAGAATCTCTATCTGGGACATGAGCTCCGTCAGTCTACAAGTGCGCCAACAAGTCCACCGAATAGAGAGGAGACAGAGCGAGTTTCTCCGGGCCAGTTGTTGGAAGACCCACATCTGACAACCATATCGCCCAAGCCTGCCACTCCGGCTGATTCTACCGACAGTTTCCTGGACTTGCTGGGATACGAAGAAGATTCGCACGCTCGGAGCACGGCAGAGGACGGGACCAAGAGACGCCGGGCGGAGAACAAGGGGACCACGGTGGAACGCGTGGACCTGGTGGAAGCCCCACCCGCCACCCGTGCTTACAGCCCGTACACCGACGGTCACCAGCGGCCTCACGTGGACAGGCAGCCGGCGATTGGGTACGTACACGCTACTAAGCCCAAGCTTGTGGAAGAGCTGTTTGTAAACGCAGCAAAATTGTGGCAATGTGAAGTGCCGAGCGTTGTTACAGACATCAGTGATGTGGTGGCAGGTGACGCCGCCGACGTTTCTCCTCAGTTTTCCTTTTTCGATCAGCTTTTCTACGAGGAAATAGAAACACCGTGCCCAGCCACAACCACGGAATTTGTCCCAAGAAGCCCGTCAATCCAATCTCCTCTTGCCGTCAGAAGCAAGAGAAGTTCTCCTGACGATCACAGCAGTGAGAGAACCACAGATGTTCCCACCTCCGCCCTGCTCGCCGACATCGCGGAACTGGTGGACAACCTGACAGCTGCGGACAGTCAACCAGAACCGGACAACGTCAGGGGTACCGAAAGGCACTCACCCGTTACCATAGCAACAGCATCGGAACTGGAAGATGTGTCTCGTTGCCATGGTAACCAGGTGTGTTGGGACTTTCCTCCAGACTTCTCCACTCTCCAGGCCATCTGGATGGAGGACTGGCCCCTGGACCACCGGGCGGAGCAAACGGTTTAAACAGTTAAAACGTTTTTGGACTTTGGTGGATAAAACATTCAAATCTTAATGAGAATTTAAAGAATTAAAGGAAGAATCACTTGTGTTGAAAATGTCTGAGGGAAGTCAAAGAGATTTCCCTCAGTTTCTTCATGATATAATGAACCATATTTACTATGGTCAGTCATGTAAATTTATTGGGATGTTGTATACAGTTATAAGACATAAAGATGGGAATCTTACTGTTTCGGTCTACAGTCTTCACTGTCTTTGTCCAGTGCTTTTGATACATTTAGATGAAATAAATTAAAAGTCATTAAAGTAACTAGCAAATACAACATAAAACAAGGAAGTTACATATGTGTGGATTCAACCTTTCATGAGAAAATATTACATATTGCACTCAAAATCAAAAATACCTCAACAGCACACAACAAAGTGCATTGTCCTTACTACATTCTGGAATCTGTAGATGTAACACAGGAACACATGCACGCAAACAAATACCTAATCTGAGAAGCACAATAAGCCAGACATCAAATCAACCAATGAAATCCTCCATTTACATTACCTTATCCTGTATAATTAATTCATGAATTAACTGCATTCAAACATTTTTTTAAATCTATGCCATAAATAAATGCCAAGAGAAAAGAGATTCTTTTGTGGGGTGTAATATTTTGAAACTATCTGTACCCAAAACATGTTTGTAATCTATCAGTATAACCTGTAATAAACTCCCTAGTACAGTGCAAAACACTCTTTGCATTGTTAGTGCAGGTACACATACTACAAAATGTAGTAACATCCTTTTCCACAAAAGTGTAACTTTCTTCAACATTAGCAACAAACTCAAGATCATATTACTGTATATGGCTTATCCTTCATTAGTACTCCTTGCAGTGGACTTCAAAGTCTTTACCACACTGAAATAACTAATTTTACATTGGATATGCGGTTAAACAGCATTGAGAAGGATAAGTTGTGTACTGCCCACTGCCTACAGTAAGAATAATTGCTATAATCACATTACAGGATACTGTAGTAACTGTTTTTAAACCATTTTTACATCATCATAACTGTCAAATCCTTGTTTACCCTTGCATTTAACTAACCTTACTATTTTTCCACAAAAATTCACTTTCTCTGGAAAGATATACATGTACCTTCAGTTTCATTGGAATTCAATCATTCTTACCCGGCTATTTGCCATTATATACTAAAAAGTGACTTTTTTTCCAAAACTTCAAGTTCTGATTGTCATTCTTTGGTCAGCCACATATTGAACATGTTAGAGAACTTGTAACACTGGGCCAAAGTATGGGCATGTCCCACTGTACATAAGCCCAAACCTTCCCAGTCTCTTTTTAATGCAGCTTCTATTATATACCAACATCAGGTGGCACTCAATTAGTTTTAAAATTTAGTGAGTGAGAATTAAAGTGGTCCAATATATTTCACCTAGAACTCTATTGAAAGGACTAAGATCCCACATTCCCCAACAACAACATCCTAGACCCTTATACATGTAAAGTTTTACATGCTAATTCCATACACAAAGTACTTACCAACAAGCTTTTGGTCAGGGTTCTCTATTTCTTTTCAAGTTGAAATAACCCAAAGCCTATCATGACTTGATCCTCAAATCCTGGAACCACGTTTCAGCTAAATTTTTAGGGGTTTAAGACAAACTGGTACCTTTAGATCTAGAGTGTGGTTTCTTTAAGACTTATACCTAGTCCTTAAGAACAGAATCCTCGCCTAAGATTTCACACAGCTCGTTGAGGCGTTGTTGCATGGTGGGCACGCCGGCGAGCTGAGACTCCAGCTTCTGTTTCTCCTCGTTGAGGGACAGGCGGGTGGATGTGTCCAGCTCCTCAAACCGCCAGCCCCCCTCCCCATCAAACTGCAGCAGGTGGGTGTGGTACTTCCTGTGGGGAGGGGGAGAGAAGGAGAACAACAGAAATGTTACTGAGGCCTGGGAAAAAATTGTTGTGTTTTCTGTTTCAGTCCTGAAAAATTTAAGGTCAGTAGGTAGGGACTATCCTTTTTTTTTATATTAGACTTTGGCAATCTCTGGTGATCCAACTTGTGATCCAACTTATACAATACAGTAAAACTTGCAACAGGATACTTATATTTTCAATGTCAATGTTGGAAAACCAATCAATTGTACAATGTTATATTACTCAGGTGTCAGATCATGGAGCTAGAAAAGGTCGATCAGCTCGAAATATCTATTTCCCTTGCAAGGGTCCACCCCCCAAAAAAGGCTAGGGTTGGCAGTTTTTTCTAGCTAGGGTCGGTCGGGAAACAGGAAACACAAGATTTTTTTCCTAGGTCTAATAAGGGCTGCAACATTCATTTTTTGGACAGGTGAACATGTGCACAGAAAGTTCTGCCATCTCGTAACCGTTGAGTTGCAATGCTGACAGTGACCTGACTTTTGACCTACCAGAGTGAGGGCCTGTGGGTGATGGTGAGCAGAGCTATCCCAGCATCCTTTGCCCCCTGGAAGATCTTGCCCTCAACATCGATGCTGACGGCACTGGTGCACTCATCCAGCAGGGCAAACTTTGGCCTGGTGGTACAAGCAAACAATCACAATTACACACTTAGGAATTATCTACAACTATACCAACACAAAACAAGCTACACACCATGGACTTAATGTGCTTTGTAAGGCTGAGAATTTTTTCAAGTAAAAATATTTTGGGGCAGCCTTGTCCAATGTTTGGTTCACAAAATAAGGAATACAAATGAATTCTTTACATGAAGGAGACTTTTTGCTTAGTAAACAGGAAATGTATAGACTCTATATCTTCATTGTTGTCAGACAATTTGGTCTCACCTGTGGTAGAATATCCTGGCCATCCCCATCCTCTGCTTCTCTCCCCCAGATAACACATCCTTCCAGTCACTCACAGCACCCCAACCTGGAAAACACAACAGTCAAGTGTAATGCCTCAGGACCTCCCATCAACTTTGCTCCCAATCACTTACCAAGAAAGGTTGGTGCTAGGTTGAGAGTTGCCTAGAATGCATCTTATTCTAGCTCCAATGCTCTCCTCTGATCACAGATATGAGATTCCTATCTAGCAGTTATTCACCCAAAGAACACACACCCAATATCTGTCCTTGGTGCTGAAATGATAACCGACCAGAATAGAGCTTTTCGCGGCGCTTATGGCGAAATGGCATGTTACATAGTTACAGTGATACCCGATTTTACTTCTTCAGGACATTTTGCACAACAGGCATCCCACATTCAGACACATGAACATTTCATACTCATCATAGATAATGACTTTCCTGAGTTTGATTTGTCAAAGTTGATGAGAAACATCTGTGCGTACCCCCTTCCCTCTGCACGATGTGCTGCAGGTGTACAATCCCCAGGATCCCCATCAGGTCCTCGTCTGTCACCCCCCTGGTCCGCATGTTCTCCATCGTGTCAGGGTAGATCACCTGGTCTCGCAGGGTTCCGATTGACATGTACGGTCTGGGGGGAGAAGGAGAAGCATAAGCATAAGTAGTAAACAGTGAGCTGTTAGACTCAACTTTGAGGGATATAGACATGATGACCTTGCTTGGCTTTGGTTTGAACACAATCGTATAGTAAATGTCAGCTTCACTCTAAAGAGTGCATGACACAACTGGCATAAATGGTACACAATGTGAACACAATGTACATAAATTTAGTTTCAAGCTAAAGGGTGTATGGCACAACCAGCATAAGTAGTATCCTGTGAGCTGTTAGACTCACCTTTGTGGGATGTAGAACATCTTGTCGGGTTTTGGCTTGTACACCTTGCCCTTGTACACAGGCCACAGCCCGCCAAGGATTCGGAACAGTGAACTCTTCCCACAGCCGTTGGGACCAGTGATCAGGACATGCATACCTGGCTCCATCTGGGGAAAGTACAGGGGAAAATAAAACATTTTGTAAGATTGTTCCTTCATACTAACCCACATGCAAACTCACCCATGAAGGGGTGATGATTGGCAGGGTAAGGGTCAGAGGTTAAGGTTCAGGTACTGACCGTAAGGTTAAGGCAGGCCACAACCACGTCACCTGTGGGGGTGATGATGGGAAGGTCCTTCAGGATGATGCTGTCTCTTGTCTCTATCACCACACCTGGGGAGAAGCACAATCTTAAGTATTAGGGAAATTTACTGATTTGGTGTAACTCTTAAGAATCTAGACAGATAGCCCTGACATTGAAAGCAAAACTTGCTAAGGCAGCATGTTTCACATATAGCAAAAATTAAGCATTTGGATACAAATTATATTGTTCCTTCATTAGACCTGATAATTATGGTCCATACCAACCAACAACCATAATCAGAAAATCAGACAGACAAAACTTTCACAAGCATACAAACATACGCAACAGAAACTGAATGAACTAGAATGCAGTTATGAATGAATGAATGGTTAACTAGAGTTCCCTAATCTCATACCTTCGCCAAATGATGTTAATCTTTATGACTGACAAATTATAGATTAGATTATTCCCCCCTGATTTAAGAAATAGGAACCTAATTTTCATGATTTTATCATAATCTCATCCAAAAACTGTCTTATATTAACAAACAATGCATTCTAGCATTTCCTAATAAATTATGCAAATGAGGTCCTGATTTGAATAAATTATGTTTAATGATGTTCACCTCAACTAAACTTTCAAATACCACAAGTATGAAATTCCAGGCAGTTATCATTACATAATTATAAAACATTCTCATTAATTATGCAAATTAAGTCATTATTAACATAATCAATATGTTCCTGTGTTTCTCTCGTTGTCAATTACCAATGTCACAAGCTTCACTTGTCCTATCATGGAATGCAGCTGATTTATAGAATTTCCCTATAAATTATGTAAATTACATGCATATTTGCATAATTGTCACATGATTATATTAAACATCACGTAAGCTACCTACATACCAAAAATCACGACGATCCGTCAAACGGTTCTTGAGTTATCCCCTTTTGAATAATTTCAAGAATATATCCCTGCAGTTCCAGAGCAAGCCGCTAGGGAGCCCAAACTCACATCACTTCTTCCCCAGCACGAGAGCTACCTACCATCCAAATTTCATCACCATAGCATGTCTAGATCATGAGATATCAAAACCGGAAGTTCAGCTGCAGTACCATAACAAGCCGCTAGGGGGCCCAAAATCTAATCATTTTGAGGTCTCATCAAGACCTACCCACCTACCAAGTATCAAAATAATCAATTAAGGCCTTCTCAAGTTATCGTGTTTACAGACAGACAGACACACACACACACACATACACGAACGCCCCTGAAAACATAACCTTCTTGGCGAAGGTAATTATCAGAAAGGTACATACCCTCTATCCTGAGGGGCCCTTCAATTCGCTGTAGTCCCTTCACAGCCAGCTGTCTCTTGCCCTCCCCCTCCGTCGCTGCCACCGTTGTTCTCTGGTACCGCCCCTCCCGCATGTCCTCAAACACATCAAACATCTCCGACACTCGTGTTGTGTAGCCAGCAAGTTCCGTGATCTGTAGGAAAAAGTGAGCTTAGTTTTGAGCAGCGACACCTAACAAAACATAATGGTACTGCAAGCAAAATGTCATGAGTGTATTATTTAGGTCACTGAGTCGTGTCTCAAGTAAGCTCCTTGATCCAATAAAAATAGGTGATTTAGTATTTCTGAAACCTGTGCCCTGCAGTTAACCTCATGGTATTTTGCTTTGTTGATTTTGTTTCACTTGTGCCACGTGTTAATCTACCACACCTAAAACATTGGTGCAGTCATACAAGTCACATGTAGCTATCGAATCAAAGTCCATGATTGCACAAAGCCTCACAGCATACATGACCAGGTACCAGTAGAGATATCGCTAAGAGATCACGTGTGGCAGAACATGTAACCTTTGAACCCAGTGCTATTTGTCTGAGCAAACAGCACAGAGACTTTTGCTTGTCAGGCTCAAAAAACGTTTTTTTAAATACACTGTATTTTGCAATACTGTATGACCCAATAGACCTGAACCTACCTCCTTATAAGATGAGAATATCCTCTCCACAGCATCAGCTGAGTCAAACAGCAGCTTACGTGACGTGGTGAAATCCTGCGTACGCTCACTGATGGCCTCGTTCCTCGCTGAGTCACTTAAGCTTTCTGTGGATCAAAAGAAATTCAGATTAACGCACAACTATCTTTTACCCAGTCTTGTGATGAGTATGATTATCATTTGTTATTTGTGACCCACAGCCCCAATATAAAGCATTGAGCTGGGCTACCCTAACTTAAAGATGACAGAAAGGAATAAATTACTAGAAAGGTAACATGCAAAGCAAATGTTTACCTTCTCATACGGTCTGCTCTGTTAATTCTTACTCAAAAACATTCCCATATATAGTGACAGGAATCTAACTTCCTCCTACTATAAAATTGCAACATGTAAACCAACACCAGTTACCATGGTAACAGACGGTCTGGTTTAGGTCATTGTCTTGATCAGGTCAGTGTTTGGAATGGAAGAAGAAGAAACAGAGCAAAAACCAGATGTTTTTCTTCAGTAAACATAAATACGGATATCTTTGCATCTACCCACCTTCGTTCTGGTACGCGGACGCCGTCATGGCGGGAACAGCGACCATGAGCAGCCCGGCGGCGCTCCAGACGTACTTCATGAGAAACTGCTCCAGCATGATGTACCACAGGCGCTTCCTGAAGATCAGGTTCATCTGGTCTGCCAGTGCTCGGTAACTCTTCTGGAGCAGTGTCAACTCAACCTGTAATGATTATAGAATAAGCCTGTCATTGAAGCTGGGCGTATATGTGTACCAAGTAACCCCTCATGTTTTCATGTTGATCTTCCTAGATGTTCTTTTGGTCTGGCCTACCTAACTACAGGTACAAGATACTATGTTGCTCTTTTCAACTTCAAGGTGCCAATATCTGTATAATGATACAGACTTCCACTCAGGATCAGTATTCATTGACAGTACCAGTATATTATTTTGACCTGACCTAACTACAAGATGCTGTGGTGCACTTTTCAGGAAGTTGCAAATTGTGCATTATGATCCATACTTATATAAAGCACACAGAATTGGAGAAAGTATACCTGGTGTCCCCCATAGAAGGCGATCTCCTCTGAGTCAGTGATGATGCGTGAGTGGATGTATCTGAGGTAGCCTTTTCTGTGAGCCTCCTCTGCTACCAGCTTCCCAAACCTGGGTGACACCGCACGCAGGATCTGAAACAACAAAATATACAGGTCGTCAATCACACTGGCATCATCACACTACCATCAGATTGAAGCTCGAGCTGTCTCCTAAGCATGGATTAAATCAGCCTTCTTTCAGATTTTGTTATTTTTAATATCAAGCTTTGTTGTCCATATATTATTGAGTGTGCCATTACTTTGTGTATCACTCATGTATTTATTTATGACTTATACTTACTAGTATATATCCTTAACTCACCTGTCCTGTGAAGAATATGGTGGTCCCAGAGATCATGCTGGGTATCCTGGCACTCGCGCCCTTATCGGCAGCCATGTTGGCCAGCGCAGCGGAGATGAGAACGATATCCAGCATTGGTTTGGTGAGCTGGGAGTACAGGTGGGCCACGGACTGGGAAAACACCTAGGGTGGCAAGGTTGGTTTGTGATCAGGGTTGTTGACTTCTAATCTAAAGGTTCTAGGTTCAAATTCAACTTTGTGGGCTGGTCTTAAAGTAATGTACATAAAATCGTACTGTGTACAATGTCGTGTTGTGGAGGGAAGCAGTCAAAAGCATACTAAACAAGCAAAAAACAAACAAACAAACAAACAAACAAACAAACCGTGAGGTCCTCCGTCAGACACTGGTCAGGGTTACTGAGCCGTCCGTCCAGGTTGGTGACACGGTAGTACGTCTGTCGGTCGAAGTACAGCTTGTACGCGTGGTTGACCAGCCGGGTGCGGAAGGCAAGAGCCAGCTTGTTCTCTAAGAAGCGAAGCACACTGTTGATGAATGTGGCGGGGACGGCGATGGCAAGCCACTGGGCCAGGAGGGCGGCAAACACCCTCATGTCGCGCCGGACGATACTGCGAACTATTCTGCCGTCCAGTTTAGCAACGTAGATGGACAGAAATGTTCGGCAGACCAGCGAAAAGGAGTGTAACGTCAGGAGCCCCGCCTCCTTCGTGAAGACACTGGGAAAGATGATTTTTAACAGCCTTAGAAGCTGCTTGAAGAAGTCCTTATTGATGGTCGCCGCCCCTTTCCTATTATGACCAGTCCCCACGGGTCCGTTTGGCGACCCGGCTTCTTTGTCTTCTTCTGTCGATCTTTTCTCCTTGGAGCCGGCATTTTGCTGGGGGGTTCCGAGCTGGGAGTAGATCCGCGGGTACAGCTTCTTGAGCCCGTAAACTACAGCCAGGGCGACCACGGCTCCCTGAGCGATCTTCACACTCTTCATGCCCTTCCTATACACCTCTTTCGTCATACTTGCCATTATTTAAGCTGGAAGGGCTCAGAGATAACCAGTCACAATAAGAAATAGGCCGATCTCAGCGATCAATGTCCATCTTCGGCAGCCATGTTGGAAAATACCCGTCATGCCCTTACAGGTTACTACAGGTCACGCCAGAGCGAGGCTCGTAGAACTAGAACAGGAGGGAAAGTCAAAAGTCGTCTGACAAATACTGAGGAGTGATTTTGCCGTTTTTTTTCACGATTTCACCAAGTTTACTTGACATTTGTCAGTCTAAAGGCTTCTCATACGAGTAAGGTAACTGGAAATCTGTTCTCAACATAGTTTCTGACTGAGCATTTTCATGATAACGTCAATTGTGTTACTGAATGTCAACATGGTGTATATGTTGGGTTTACTATAGCCGCGGCGACTGTTGCAGGGCTTCTCTTGCTTGCAGTCTTTTACATTAGCCCTAACAACAGTCGCGGAGCGGTGCATAGGGCCAAATGAACAAACATGCGTTTTACCGTGCCGGAACACTTTGAGACCGAAGTTTGCACGTCCCCAGATTCCTAACAGCCTTACCTAACGTGCCGGGGTGTTTTGCGCGTCAACCGGCCCCTGCGCGACTCGTACCGCCACTATTTGCGATCGCTCCCCATGTATTCATAAGCCGAGTGGCCGCCATCTTGGTCAGCAGCGCGCCGAATCAGCTACTTGCAAATGCGCCACTACTTTTCTGATCCGTAGAAATAGCTTATCTGAAAAGTAGCGGCAAATTTGCAGGCGGCCGATTCCAATCAAAAATGGCGGCCAACTGTTATGTTTTACATGGGGAGCGATCGCAAATAGTGGCGGTACGAGTCGCGCAGGGGCCGGTTGACGCGCAAAACACCCCGGCACGTTAGGTAAGGCTGTTAGGAATCTGGGGACGTGCAAACTTCGGTCTCAAAGTGTTCCGGCACGGTAAAACGCATGTTTGTTCATTTGGCCCTATGCACCGCTCCGCGACTGTTGTTAGGGCTAAATGTAAAAGACTGCAAGCAAGAGAAGCCCTGCAACAGTCGCCGCGGCTAGGTTTACTAATATTGGTTACGACACTGTAACCAGCCATGGTTAGAAAACTCCATGTCCAAGTTTCACTTAGAAAACCCCAATGAGTTGGTGTTATAGAGTAGACTATAGTAAATGTCTTCACCCATGTAGGAAGATCTCTTCCAGTTGCGGGTCGGTCAATGTCTGTCCTTGGTGCTGAATTGATAATCGGCCCGAACTGGAAAAGAGCTTCTCGCGACGTTAATGGTGAAATGGCTTCTTACATAGTTACAGTTGTATCCGATTTTACTTCTTCAGGGCATTCTCTACACCATGAACTGGGTCGGCGGAGCAAGGTACTGCATTCTTCTTCAGACTCTTTGGCACATTGTAATTATTTTGTTACCTTTGATTGTTTGGGCCAGAGATGAACATGATAGTAGTTCAGAATTTTTTGTTTTCATTTGAAATAAACGTTGTTTGATTGTCTTAAATGTTTTTATGCAAAGGTATCTTGTTATAACATAATAATTCTTGTTTTATTTGAAATAAACGTTATGTTTGATAGTCTTAAAAGTTTTCATGTAAAGGTCTCTTGTTATAACTTATAATAATGAAGACATAGTCTAGTTGACATTGTATAAACAAAACACTGCTTTTTCAACTCTAGGAGCCGACTTCGAATGAAGTATGAAAAGAAACAACAGAAGGTAAGAATACTAAAGAATATATCCAATATTATGTTCACATTAACGTTACATTGCTTCATCATGATGTACAAACCAAACATATGACTACCATAATCACAAATTAATTATGGTGATAGCAATTGCAACTTGTAAGTTACATGTATAGTTTATTATAAATATTTGACACGTTAGTTGTTTTCAGATATGTTGTTTTCACTAGAGTGTACACAGTCCTTTCTTGTGCTTATGTGTACTGAGGTTTTGTTTTTCACTGAGTCTGTAGTTATTTGACTACAGGGGAGTCAAAGGCTCATGACCAAACACTTTTCCCTGCATGCCTAGGATTACTTTGAGAGAAAGAGGTACAGCAGACAGGTGAGGACAGTCAGACCACAGTCCCCCGGTGCCACACACAGGAAAGGGGGAATCAGTCAGGACCTGCTGTATCTACACACTCTTAACACAGCTCACAGCATGGACAAGAAAGGTTGGTCTGTTTCTTGTTAGCACTTGTTAATGTGGTTGAGGATAGCCATAGGAATCAATTAGTGAGCATTAATTTACAAGTATATTTCTTACATATCCCCACAGGTTCTTTGAGTGACCCCTCGTCCAGGCAGGTGAACAAGGTAGACCTGAGCAAAGTTAACTGTGCCTTCCCCATGAGGAGACAGGAGGACTTGGAGCTGCCCAACATGTCTCCTGACTACAGCAAAACTCCATCACTTCTGCAGCTGGCAGATCCTACTGACAGGTAAGGAAAAGTTTGATTTGCTCTTCAAAATTTGATGATTTGACACAACACTAACCATAAAGCCTCACAGTCATTTTCTTGGTTGTTGTATTTGACCAAACAAATTTGACCTGATACCGGTAATTAATAGTTCCTCTGTAGAATTCTTGGAGTGTGTGAAAAAGTGTGAAAGGACATGCTAAACTTGTGTTATGGTGGGATATTTTTCAAGATGTGTTCACTTCCAGAGTTTGGGAACATTTATCACGTATACATATATTCTTAGAGTTTTCTGAAGTTTAGCAACTTCAGAAAAAATACAAGCAACATTGCATATTCAGAGGTACAAGCAACATATTCTTAGCTACCTGTCTAAGTTGCAGCAGTTTATGTCAATCTAACTTTAATGGCTAAACGAAAATACTCAACTTTAAATGTCAGGTTGATGTATTTGGGTTCCACATTTCATTCATTTGTTTATACAGTAAGCCCCCTTGCCAACACTACATGTCCTATGATGACTGGCTAACTAGCAGCAGTGGAAAAATGAGAAATGACACACCAGACAGTGCAGTGCCCCTAGGTCTGTTTGATCAGAGTACACGACTGTCTGCAGTGGCACCACACACATCTAACAGCGGGGTACAAAGTCTCGGGGTAGGCATCAGCTTGTAACTTTGCTAAGTAGTTCCTGTTTTTAGTGGCATTGGCTTTGTTATGTTGGATGTGTAATTCTTTGATGAAGAGAATGGACTAATCTATTAGAGTAATTTTAGGTTTGTTTTTCAATAAGGCTTGGAGTAAGGCAGCACAGTAATTACCAGCTACATGCTTCTAGCTTCAAAGTGCACTTTCAAAGCACACAAATAGAGCTAAACACCATTCAACAGTTTGCAAATTACTAGATGCAGTTCAGATGAAGATTTGATATCTTTGTCCTCAGACCCCCTTTGTGCCCTACACCACCCCTGGCCCTAAGGCATACTACAAGGACCCCTTCAGGAAGTTTGCATCTTCCTCAAGTCTGGTGAAGTTTGAGGAGGGTACTCACACCCCTGATCCACAGCATGGCCATGACTTTGAGCCTGCAGTTCCGGGTATTGTGAATCCACCACGTACACCAGGCTCCTCTCACAAGAGGAGGAAACTGGCCAGGATACCTTCTTCAGGTCGCAGCGTGTAAGAACTTATTTGTACACATTGGTAGGGATGTTGTCATGCACTTTGTTGTAGGAAAGGGTAGACCAGTGACTGACTTTATCTTGGACACTTAATGTGAGACAATGAATTTGAGACAAACTCTATCTGTATTATGCATCACACAGTATGTACAAGATGAAGCAAGCAGTTAAGCTGGACATGATGCAAGCTAGGAATCCAGACAACATTAACCAGAAAATGTACATACTGTAGTTGACTAGCCTGGGTGCCATCCTCCGTAGTTTCTGCCAGCTCCCTTATGCCAGTGACATTAGGGAGCGGGCAGAAACTATGGAGGATGGCACCCAGGCTACATAGTTGACATCATGTAAAAATTTTTTTGTCAGGTATTTGTTCCTTCCTTGCTGATCTGAATTGTCTTGTTTCTTTGCAGAAGAACACCTTCTACCTTCAGCTCCAGCAGTCAGAGCAGTTTCGAGTCACCTGTAAAGGGAGGCACACAGGATAAAGTAGTAACAAATCATGTCAGTTCCATCATTTTATTCTTTACTTCATAGTATTGTCTTATTGTTTATTTCATTGTGGAATGACTACTGCTCATAGCCACGGTGGATAATGGAGATTGCAGCTAACAGAATTTATTTCTTCCTCACCTAGAACCATAAGGAGGAACACCGTCCCATTCTCCTTCAGAAGAGTGCACAAAGCCAGAGACCTTCTCTTCACAACTGGCTAAGTTCCATCTCTCGAGACACAGAAAAGTCTGGCAGCCATCCCAACAATACTACTCCTTCAACTACTGATGAAGAGATCCTCCCTGCTGAGAAAAGGAGGAAGCTGGATTTTGGAGAGGCCTGCAGTACAGATGATAGTCAGCAGAGGGCAGCTGTGATATGTAGTGATAACCAAGCTCAACCTGAGGCTGAGAGAGACCTCAAGTTAAACCCCTGGAATGCAGTGTATAGAGAAGGAACAACAGATGAAAGGTTTAGCATAAACGTAAAGCCAGAATCACCAGCAACTCTGAAGCAAAACACTTACCAAACAACTGAAAACCCATTCTGCCAAAAAGGATACCAGGCAACCCTGCAAAACTTGATGAGCATGCCATTAACATGGGCAAACCAACAGCCAACTGGAAGCAAACAAAAGAAAGAGAGCACAGCCGTTGCAGAAGAGGCCCTCTATGCTTCCACACAACAGTTTGTGCCAGGTTCAGCACCAAGGACAGATACCGTTTTTAGACTGAAACATTTGTGCATGGTTGACCAGTTCTGGTAGCAGAATCATACCAGGAAGTAACTGCTGAAAGTAGTATTCCTACCCTTTCTGATATGGGTGGATTGCTGTATTCTAGATACTTTTACGTAACAAGAGCTCCAGCTTGGATTAGGTCTTATTCTAATAGTGTTAACATTTCCTCTTTTAGTTAAATTTATCAATTTCAAAACTTTCCTTACACAGGAAATTAAAGCATCTTCCTTTCTTATTTTGACTTTGATACAGGGGAAGTATTGAACACCCCAACTAAGGAAATTAACCAAAGGTATGAAAATGAGATACATCCTTGTGTTGGTTCTACATTACTGTTAATGTTACCATATTTTACCATTGCACTGAACATAATCATTTTTTAATGTACTAAGAGCTGAACTCTTGTTCCTCACATACAGGGCAGGTCATGAAGACATACACACAAATCAGAATGAGGTTTGTGAATGTATCAACCTTTCATACAGAAATGTCAATCAAGTTGTCCAAATTTCATTTTCATACAGATTTTCATTCACTTGTTGATTAGGAAGTAGAATTTCAAAATTTTTATCTCTATTTTTTAGTTGACCTTACAAAAGTCACTGTACTTTTTGTTGCATGAATAAAGCTTCTCTGATATTTTATGTAACCCATAGAAGGTCTCCACACCACACATACGGGACCCATTTTCCCCTCTATCAAGTCAGGGATCCCTCTGCCTCTCATCAGGTAAACCAACAGTTATCTTAATTCTTTATTTTTGATGTTGAAAAGAAATACTGGACCATGCAGCTTGCACATTTTACTTGTTACATATGACCAACTGTAGCTATGTTCATTTCTTATAAGAAAACTGAAAAGTTAGCTCCTAGGTCATGTACATGTAGGTTTAAAATCAGTTTTCATGTAAGTTGCCTACTACATTAGAATGTGAACTTGAGCATTTGTATAAAACACAGACAATAACTAGTCATAGTTCTTAATGTAGGCTATTTGTCAGGTAATGTCTGAAAGAAGCTCTCAACTAGTAATTACACAATATCAATGAGTAATCTACATTTATATTCATCTGTCCATCAGGTGTAGAATCTCTGTCATCCTTGGATTTATCAGAAACTTCAGAAGAACACGAGGTCAACCTCAGTCAGGAAGAGGTAGGAAGTTCCCAGCCAAGGTATCCTAACTCATAGACTAGATCAAACATAACATGAGTAGGGCTACTCATCAGATTTGGAGATCTAGCTCACCAATACATTTGCACAGATGATATACTATTTGCTTCAGTTATAGCTGAAGTGCTTTGGGTTTGATCCATTCCTGTGCTTTCACCACACATACTATATCTAATCAAAAGTCGCATTGCAGGAAAATCTGATGATTTGAAAGGTTGATGTAGCCTTTTATCAATATGTTGAGAACTGAAAATAACCCCTCAGGCCACACCAATTTAATTTGTTGGTTCTCCGATTTTTTCAGAAAAAATATGAAGCGACAGGGCGAAAAAAAATAAAATAAAAACAAGTCTAGGCATCCTATTATAGGCTTAAATGCTATGAAATGAGCCATGAAGTCAACACAAAAGGCTGGGTTAAAATTTAAACATTGAATTTTGACCTTTTAATCAAACCACTGCAATGATAGATGGGAAAACTGGGACAACTAGGAAGAAAAGGACTTTCCTCAATTGTTTGGGGCAAAACATGAGCATTTTTCAGTTGATTCAGGACCAGAATCAATTTTTTTTTGCAAATCAGAAAAAATGAAGAGGCGAATCCGAGAACCAACAAATTAAATTGGTGTGGCCTCAATTGTAAAATACAGAAGACCTTGTGCTAAAAATGTCTTAAAACTGTTTTTCTGCTATTTCACAGTTGCAGACCCTAGAAGAAGGTCTCACTGAACCGCAAAGCACATTGACGGGCGTGACAAAAACAGCCATGGGCCCTGATGCAGACACGTCAGGGGTAGAGAGAGATGTGTCAGACTGCCTCCAGCTGATTCTCACACTTGTGGAGTGTGAAGATTTCAACACTACCCCAGAGGTCAAACATCAAGATGGTCCAGTCATACGTCCAATGACCACTCCAAGGCAGATTCCAGACCAGTTTGGAGCAAATGCGTTGGTTGGTTCAAAAGATACTTCTGAGGTTGAGTCAGTGTTTTGCCCAGGTTCCACAGATGAGATAGGACGTTTTCTAGAGGGTGAAGTGCTAGTAAAGGAAGTCATTGACAGTATTATCAAAGATGCTCTTGATATGAAAATGCTCAATAAAGAGAAGCAATATAAGACTTCACATAGGGAGGAAACAAGTGAAAGACAAGGGCTCAATGCTGAAGAGCAAGACACTCTGAAAACTGATGGACATCTTTCACATGAATCAGGACAGTTTGGCACAGAAATCAGGGAGGAGAAAACTCAAAAGTACCAGCAAATGCAAACTGTCACCAAGACAGAGGACACAGGAACACAGACTGAGGATACAACAGATAATTCTCATAAATCTGAGATGATGGTTTCCGGAGAGAATGAGCAAGACACCTGTGGTTCTCTTGGCAAAATCTCCTTGTGGTCTGACAAGTCAACACAAACCAGAGATCAAGAGGGCTCTGTTCTGGAAGAAGAAAGTGGCTTTGAAGTTGAGGAATGTGAACTGAGGGCGAGGGCAGTGCTGGAGAAGGTAAAGGGATTACCAGAACCCTGCAGGAGAGAGAAACGACTACTAATGATGCTGAATGACATGGAAGAGCTGATTGTGAAGCTTGAGAGTGCTCACATCCTACAGTCTTTGAAAGAGGGAACTTCAGCCTCAAATTGATCAAGAAGTCATCTCATTTCCTAGACTCGGTTTCCCAACTTTTATAATACATCGCTACCATACATACACAGAAAGCTCACTAACTTATCTCCAACTGGGGGGATAAACTAAACATGATACATATTGCAAATAGAAAAGCAAGTAACAGTCTTTTAAAGAAAGGACACTTCTGCCTGACTACACAGGATTTGCCTTATTTAGCCAAATTTCTTTCATAAACATTCAAATAGCCTGTAACCAACTGGGGATGTGCACTTTCATAAAATCTGTAACAAACTACCCGAAAAGCTACAGCATGAGATTTGTTTAACCTGGACCATCTCACCTAAAACAAGTAATCTCTGGAGTTATTATAATGCTACAAAACATGTACTTTACTTATGTTCCTTGTTGTTATGTTAGAATAGACAACAAATAACAGTTACAACTTTCATAGCAGAACACTTTTTAGCTAAATATAGAAAGAAAATGTAGTATTTAGAAATAAGTAAACATTGTGCTATTTTAGCTTGTTGGCCAAACCTGACAAGTTCTATCACAGAACTATTTATCTTAGTTTTTGAATTGAGTGTTCTATTTGTGTCAAAGATTTTCTAAGATGTAGAGTCTAGATTGAAACCAATAGAATTTCTTGCTGATATTATGACATGTAGAAACTAGACCTATTTAATATAGTTTGTTCATTTTTATCATGTGTTCATACACATCGCGCCGCTTTGAAATAAACGGTGATATATAGTGGCATTCACATATTTTCTGGTATACTATTCACCAAACAACCGTCAGAGAATATATCAAAATGTAAAGTATTTCTGAAGCGATTGGTTTTCCTATCCATGTAAGACTTGTATCTGTGTCGGTCAAACTGTAAGCCTGTACTCCTCGGCTTTACATGCGAGGCTGCCGTATCTGATCGCCGTTATACAGCGGAGAAATACGGAGCGGGAACAGCATTCACACTTGTTAAACCCCAGAGGACGGCTTATTTATCACACACGTCTACCGGTGCATAGATGCGAGCGGAACCGATTTTTTATGACGCCCCCGGGCCGTGTATATGTGCCTCTGTTGGTTCGGCGCGATTCACACATGGGGAAACTTATCATGTCGGCACCTACAAGTCGCGACGCCAAATCCTACTTGAGACTGCCTTTGAATTCGAAGCATTCAGGGCGCGCACATTCAAGCCAGGATTCTTCAGAATAGTTTCTGATAATTAAGTGACATTTGGCGTAAGAAGTCGGATTGGAAGTTGGCAAAAGGTCGAAAAGTAAGATTTAGAGTATAGTGGCGATTTTAACGGGTTCTGAAGTCATGGGTGCCCGAGTCACTGGTGCGCTTTACGCATTTGCAAGCTCTTCCTTATCTCATTATTTTCTACAACCAGAACGTCACCTCGGGAAGTATCATGCAGAATACTGGTAGAGTCTCGTGGACAACACGCATAGAAGAAATCCGGTATATTGCCTGAAGCTACATACATTTGTATATTGTACAGTAGGGAGATCCTTTCCTGCCAGGCTCAGTCCTACGCAGTTCATTCTGAAGCTTAACAATTTGTAGCCTCCTGAATCAGTTTGGTCTGAGCTGTACGTCAAGCTTATCCGTGCGCGCGATGGTATAAGCTATCAGTATGTTGATCTTTGCTTACATGTCCTCAAGGGCTGAATATGAGTTGAGTATTAAGTATATAAATCACCTGTATAGCCAGTTTACGAATGAGATGTTCACAGTAGTGTAGTTTTAATAGTCAAAGTTTAGTCAAACTTTATTGCACAATGATTGCATCAGTGTAGTTTAAAGGAGTAGCACGTTTCCATAAGGAATTTGGACGACATTTAGGGCGACCGAAATGTGCTTGCGGTACAGAGTGGCACAAAATCCCTGTGAGTGTCAGTGTTAAACATTCGTGCTGGGGAGGACATAAAATCGGCTTCGACACATGTTCTGGTAAAAGGTGTTCAGCTTTGATACGCCCGTCTCTGTTTCATGCATGCACGCTGCAGGCCCCGTGCTTTACTCGTCCCGGCACGATTATCGTAGTCTAGGCCGGTAGGAATGCGCCCTTTAAGGCGCGGTCACATTTCCCAACCGGGCGCCCGGCCGGTCAGTCGTATGGAAGTAAAATTATGATATAAGACAGCAAAACTAAAAAAAAAGTTGTAGAAAATTAACCATGAGCACACACCACTCACACACTCTTAACACAAATTGTTCATTTTTCGTTCACGCAAACAACCCGGCCGGACCCCGGCTTAGAAATGTGACCGTGCCTTAAGGATGGAACTTCAACCTAACTTCATCACGTTTGTAGCAGCCATTCCACTGGTCGTACGCGTGTGAATTATCCGTATGAGTACGCGTGGCCCTTTCGTAAATGAGATGATACATACGTCTTATTATACTATATATACCTACGTGTGTCGCAACGCGCCACATGGCTTGAAACGTCCATTGTTAAAGCGAACTAAATTTAGTCTCGAAGTAGGTCTGTGGCGTCCAGAAGATGACGTCCGTATAATCAAGTTTGTGTGGCCTTTAGAACTCTCGGGGTCTGGAAAAAGTTTGATAAGTACGGTTCCATTTGTGAACTTAAAGGGGTGTATAAGGTTGACCTTCATAGTTTGGTGTAGGTCACGGCGTAGTTTTGAAATGAGATTTCCATTTTCGAACGGTCGTACGTAGGAATATACGTTACAATTGTGCGAAAGAATTTGCAAATAGTGTAGGCCAAATTCCGTGGAAGACGAAATAAAATCATTTTACTTTCAATCTGTACTTTTTATAGCCAAGAAAGAAGTTGGCTGTTTGATAAAACCATCATAGTCTACCCTCCTACACGTTTAAAGAAAACTACCCGCGGGGGTACCCATCTCTTAACTTCCGAAAACTCACACGTTGCAGAAAAGGTGGAATCTTTCTAGTCAATCCCAGTACATTTAGTCCAGTAGATATTCCAAAACCTTTGCAGATAGCTTTGAGGTTCAATGTCCTGTCACTTAACTGTATTTTTTTCTTTCTCCATGTCTACGCTGTAGCAGGCCGAACTAATGAATAGAGTAGCATTATCTATATCATTATCTATATCTACACTGACAGTATCTATTCATACCCCCAATTTGTATCATAAGAGGCTGTACAGTCTAGCCGGCACTTCGTGTTTTGTATCTGCACTTTATCTATATCCCTTACCCGTACTGTTGCTTACTTTTGAGTACTTCATTCGTCCCTAGGCACAAAACACTTTTAAGAAAAAGCTAAAGATATGGCGCACTTAAGGGCTTCGCAGAGTATGGGGCGTCGAATGGACGCGTACGCGTGAAAAATTTGACTAATGCCCCCAGACAGTTCTCTCTGCCGTATCTAAGTCCAGTCACTTTCGATTTCAAAAGTCATTTCTTAGGTCCGTGAAGGCCAGAGTAACATGTGGAAAGCCCACTGTGTTGACTTTTCAGAATATACTCTTAACCTTTTACATACCAGTTTTACATGAAAGTAAAAACAACTCATCAGTGTAAAAACTGATCGTTGCACTCCAACACAAGTCACATGCGTCGCGTGACCGCCAGATGATGGCAAACTTAGAGCATGTTGGATGTTGGGGATAGTCGTGCAAAATTCAGCTGTCTTGTTAAGGAAAAGTCTGCCTTAGATCCTCGTCAGTAGTTGGTTTTGCCAGGTTGAATTGTACGGCAATAAAATTGTACGACGAATATAACCACCCGTATCATCACTCACTCAACTCACACACACACACACACACACACACACACACACACACACACACACACACACACACACACACACACACACACACACACACACACAACAAACAATATTAGCAAACCTCACGAATTTTCGATTGATCTCAATGCGTTCATCAGGTTCAAATTCCTTTGGATATGTACCCATGGCCATGCGGACACTTAAAGTCAGGACAAATAAAGTTGCATCAATTCTGATATACTTTAGCTGCCTAGCCTGGGTACCATCCGGATTTTGCTCCGCTACGCTCGAAAAAAAGCGTAGCGGAGCAAAATCCCGATGGTACCTAGGCCAGTAGCTGTCCGGATGCATTTACATTTGACTTTCAACTCCGACCGCAACTATCCTTACAGAGTCCAGGTCATCTGTGTTACTACCCAATGCTTGCAGATGTCATAGGCTATCGGGGAAGCCGTACCTCTTCCGTTTGCAATTGGCGATGATTGACACAGCAACCGCCTACACGACTAAAATAGCCGGGCGGACGGGCACGGTTAGGACAGCGTGCGTCATTGGTGACGTACTGTCTACATCAAGCAACGTTGTACGGAATAGATTTTCATCATTTTTTTTCTGATCTACAAGGCTTGCATAGTGCTCCGTTCTGCATGATGCGTGTGTTATATAGTGTTCTTTATGTATTAAGATGTAGAGTACATGTATATTAAACATACATATGAAGGGACGATTATCTGAGGTCCCAAGTTGAAAGATATAAGCGTTCAACCTTAAGTTATTAATGACACTGATATACGTACATTTATCACTAATGTAGCTAATGTAGATCTAAAAGAAACCAGACCTATATCAGATTCACATCTTGATAGTAAATGCTACCCAGGATGTACATGGAAAAGTCACCAAGCGTCACCTCGATAGAGGATACATTTGATAAGTTGTCATGAGACAAACACTTGTTACTCTCGACGTGAAGCATTGTGGGATACCCGCACCACTGCGCAGGCATTGGTGCGCAGATATAGGAAGTCAACAACACACAGTGGCCAACATGGCGCAGTGGTAGGGCAGGTTTGCCGGTGGGACCACCGGAGTTTCACGGCTTCTTCCTGCTCCAATTTCTTCAGTTAAGAGTTTGCTCATGAGTCGAGAGCATAGTTTTGAGATGAAAGGTTCCTCCGCCAACTTCGCCATGGACCGGCCCGAGAACGACGAGCGGCAGCTCATCAACCAGTCGGCGGGCGACCGTAGCGGTGTGACCCGCCAGCCGGCCCGCAAGACTCCGCTGATCCTCTACGTGCTCACCCTGCTGGCGGCGATCGGCGGGTTCCTCTTCGGCTATGACACCGGGGTGGTGTCCGGGGCCATGATCCTGATCCGGGACGACTTCAAGCTGTCGACGGTGTGGCAGGAGGCGATCGTGAGCGTGACCATCGGCGCGGCGGCCCTCTTCGCGCTGCTGGGCGGGCTGCTGAACGACACGTTCGGCAGGAAACCCGTCATCCTGCTGGCCAGCTTCGTCTTCACGGCCGGGGCGGTGGTCATGGGCGCCGCGCAGTCTAAAGTACTGCTCCTCATCGGCAGAATCGTCGTGGGCATCGGGATAGGTAAGAGTCGTTTTCTTTATCTCTTAAAACTTTAAGTAAAAGTAATATGTTATTTTCACCTTGACAAAAAGCAATATAACGTTACGTTAACCTAATTTACTTGTGTTCCAGTTCACATCTTCTTCAATTTCAAGTGTTCAAAAACTCGTTCTCCGACACAAATCTTTGATTCACAGTGGCTGATTACCATCAGATATGGTACAAACTTCTTCATTAGATAGATTTCAACAAACACTGGAATTCGTCAGCCTATGTTTTGCCACCCCGAAAAGGGGGCGTGTCCCTTTTTGGTAAGTGAACCGACTCGGTGCCCAGCTAGCGTCATGTTACAAGTAGCCAAAGAAGCCTCTTACCGATGTGTCACAATTAAGCTAATTAACAGCAAACTAATCAAAAGCTTGTCCCTCATCGACCAGAATAGGTTGAGTGAGTAGGTGGGTAGTAGGTAATCAAAAACTTGTGTTGTACTAACTTGTAGTAGGACTAGGACTAGTAGGAGGGAACAATGTCTTTCATATAGTCCTGCAGAAAGTTTGATAAAGTTGCAAGCAAAAGTCCAACAGTTTGCAAAATTACTAAGGAAAGGGGGAACATGTGGAGCCTTGCAATCCCTCGCCATAAAATGACATGTACACACTTTAACACTGTCAGGAAACTGAGGTACAGATAAGAGGGTCTGCATGAGGGGTCCTGACAACGCTTTACACTAAATTCAGAAGGCCAATTATGCAAAATGTGGCCATCTGACTAAGAATTATGGGGATAAGGAAGCTTTTCCCTACAAAGTACAGTAAAACAAAATGTATTGCTTACACCGTATGGAAAAAGGGCATGCAGGCCCTCAGGTGAGACACTTTTAGCTTCATCATTAATCTATATAAGACAGCGATGCCCTTGGCAATTGGTAGCCAGATTGCCTGGGCATGATGCCAGTCACATGAAATTACAGCACTCTCTATCAGCCATCCTGACCGTCACCGGCCAAACTATCTTGATTTTATGGATGATGTCATTTGGAAGCTCCAAATCTAAAGAATAGAAGAGTGCAAAGGCGAAAAAATTGAATTGGTCCCCAAAAATGCACACAAAATTTTTTTCCTGTTCAAAATTCAAAGAATCAAGAAAGAACACAGTAAATGTATGTTTTAGTTCGATTGCAGTTTTGTTTGTAAAAAAAACTTGTCACATGTACTCTGACCAAAGTCTATCAGTCGCAAAGTCCACCAATAGCTTTAGGTGCCGCCATAATCTTTGAGTGGCCCAATTTCTTTCATGTCGTCGGCACGTTTGCCTCATTTTTTTCAGCATAGATTTTCCCCTTAGCCACAGTCCTAAACCCTCTGCATCCTTTTGTACTAATCATGGACAAAGATGACCATTGAACTCGATACAAATTTATCAATCTACAGTACTGCCCTCTGTGCATAAGGTTTGACTTTGATAAACGTAGTACATCACATATTGTAGATTCATCTATTTGTCATGACACATGTGGAGAAGTCACTGTGAAAATAATACTTTTTCATGATTAAGGTTCAAAATTGCTTAACTGGTTATTTGCAGTTTAAAACTGAATTTTAAACCAGTGTACAATCGTGTTCAAAAGCTAAATGTATACATTGAAAGTCAGCTTACACAGGTGTGAGATTAAGAGACTAATAGACAAACAGGTCACAAGCAATATAATGATCTCTCTAGGGCACAAGACACTTAAGTCCATACTGATTTAACAAACGAGTCAGATTTGTAGCTGCTGTGGGAATGTCATGAAGGATGTGGTCTCTGGTGGCTTCGTGGTATTTAATAGTTAATTAGTCCAGTGAGAAATTGTACTGACAGTGCGCTGCCTTGAGTACAGTTCCGCACACCCACGCACCATGCCCTACATGTGGATTAATCAGAAGCCCTTCATGTACCATCGTTTATCACGTTTAACTCTACATCAGCTTTACATTTGTACATCCCATCTAAAGGGACAGAAGCTGGATTCTCATTTTCACCTGAATGGAATGGGTGTTAAGTGCCTTCCTCAAGGGCACAACACTGGGACGTCCTGCTTGCAATTGGAACCCAGAACCTCTAGAGTCTAAGTCAATAGTACAACTACTACAATACCACCTTGCCACCATGCAGCCGGGAGTAGTTGAGCTTTTAACCTCCTGAGGAAGAAAGCCGACAAGTTGCCAAACCACAGCAGGCAGGAAAAGTGCTTGTTTTCAAAGAACTGTACCTTGATGACATTTACGACTTGATGGAACTATTCTCAGAGTTTCTGGACAGGCAATCTTTTATGCACTGTTGTGTTTTCTCATACATATATAGTGTCACACAGTCAACGATCTAGAGCCAAACTTTCTGATTGCCACAAGGTCCCTGATTGCCATCAATCATTTAGAATAATTTCCACCTGAAAATCTACCATGTTATACTGAACTGGGTGGTGTGTCCTGCAACCACTGGCCAATCCCTAAAAGTCGCACAGTAATTGAGGCCTGGTACCACCAGCTGTATTCTAGCCAAAAATGTTCTTTTGAGCTCAAAGACTCATTTGGCAAACTCTTTTCCTACTGTGTAACAGAGGCTTAAGAAACGTCCCGTCCCCAGCTGTAACTGAATTGGCTGTCAGATTGAATGGACTCGATTCTGTTCATCTCTTGCCAGATTCATCTCGTATTAGATTGTATACACTTGATAAGTCACAGAACTGGCTCTGTCATATGCATACTAATGAATCATTAGAGGAGACTGCCTTGAGATCTCATCTCTGAAGGCTGCACTGCTGGTGAATATCACCAATGTACATGCAAAGGTGATTCTAAATGCATGAATCAGTTACAAGTCACACGCTTTGGCTGCAATAATTTTATGTGTTGGTTCTCAGATTTGAAAAAAAAAGAAGAAAATAATGCTCAGCTACATTCCTGGAAAACCTCTTGAACCCTACGAAAAGAGCATTATTTTTATGACTTCTATTTTTTGTCATAATTCTTTACTTTTCAAAAACTTGAATCCAGAACCAACCCAGACCACACAATACCACATGATACTGATATAAAGAAACTAGAAGCATTTTAAAAGTTTTTCAGGTTCCAAAATAGACCCATACAAGATGATACATTATCCAAACTCACACTTTTTTCAAAAGCCCATGTGCCCTTCCTCCCCAGGTCTGGCCTCAATGACTGTCCCCATGTACATAGCGGAGGCAGCGCCACCAGAGATGCGTGGACGGCTCGTCACTATCAACAACATGTTCATCACGGGCGGGCAGTTTGTCGCCAGCGTCATTGACGGAGCGTTCAGCTACAACAAGCAGGACGGATGGAGGTCAGTTGTTAGGCTTTGACTGAGTACATGTAGCTGCGTGGGTTTTCCCCAGTTTTTTCTCCTGTGTAAGTGCACATGTATGTGTATGCGTGTGTGTGTGTGTGTGTATATATGTCTGTGTCAGTATGTGTGTGTCAAATTTTCCCTCAGAGACTGTATTCATGTTAATTTTTTGGTTCTTTGTAAATCTGAGAACCAAAAAAATCAATTGATGTGGCCTTATCCAGGTCAGAAGGAGCCCAGGGTCCATCCCGCACACATCACTTGGTACTACCTGTGTGCCGACTCTCATGTGGAGTTTGACTGATGACCAATTACCCCTAGTGGGGCTTAAGTAAGGTTAATAATGGTTGATTCTCCCATTGATGGAAGATGGAAGGGCTGTCCTCCCACGCAGTCTTCTAAAACCACTCAGGAGACTGCATCACTGAAACAATCCATACACATGCAGCCTAATGTATCACCAGGACTGGGGTCTTTCAATTTAAAGCATATTGGCAACTAATTATAAGCAGGCCTACTGCAGTTGTTGCATGTTGTGGTATGTAAATTGATGTACAAATGTACTAGTATGTTTGATCAGTTCTTCTTCTTATACCAAGCTTCAGGTTACAGATGAGATCTAAGACTAAATTGTAAAGGATTGTTTTACAGAAAATCTATCAACATCTCAATTCAGTATGAAACTCTTGTGGCTACCCAGTGACATCTGAAGGACAGACTGTCCATTTACATGTACATCATGTTATATTGAATCAGACATGTTTAGTTTTTCACTTTTCTGCATTTGCCTGTACGTTAGGAGATACCAAATCAACTTCTGCAATTTTCCCCCGCAAAGCGGAAGAAAACCATATGGCTTGAATCCCTCCTAGCATACCCATGCAGAAAATGAAGTCAGTTTTCCTGTGGCCTTAAGTTGATTTAAGACAGTCCCTCCATACTAATGTCTGTCTAACTTACTAGACGTACTTTCTAATGTCTGTCTTTTGTAAACTAGAATTAGAATTGCAAAGTCCCACCATGTAGCTCTGATGTAAATCCTTTCAACCTCATGCATGCCTAATCTTAAGGGCTTTTCCAGTTATCACCCTATGGAGAATATTTCTGTAGATACATATACTCTTCCATCACCTTACTTCGACTTTATGGACATTATGATCCCCCGCTTTTTATCATTGGTTCGATTTTCTATACTGGGAGAATCCCAGTTGCTCAACCTACAGAAAATCCCTACAGTCCTTGTGATGGAATGTTAAGCATATTCCACTGTTCATTGTGCTTGTCAAAAATAAGCTAGAAAAATTTATTCTGCATTTGTACAATGTATCTGTAACATGGTATACTGAACATACCATGGCCATCTGTCTCTGTCACAACATTTGGAATATTACCTCTTCATTGAACTTAAATCTTCAAGAGATCTCTTCATCTTTTGAAGCCCGTTTCACATTTCCCCCTTGAAGGCACTTGCTGACAAGACACATACATCATGTACATATACTGTCTTGATCTAACGGTAATTTCGCATGCCCTGACTGTATGACCATCTTGCATTCAAGTCTTATCTCTGTTCCTCCCTGTACCATTGCCAGTTTATTGCGCTGTATTGCCTTTTTCCTGGAAAGTGCCCACTGCCTGGAGGTCAGGCACTCCGTGTTATCTCAGCTGGATTTTCTTCATGCCATGTCGACCTTTCAAACCAGTATTCATCTCCTGCACAGACATTTGGTGTTTCTTTGTGTTTATCTGTGTTTTTTTGGTTGTGTGTCTGTATCATTCGAGTTACAGGAAGTGAAGGGGGAATGGTGTAACCACAGACTGACAGGAAGCTACTGTTTCACAGTAGTTGAAACAATTTGTGGTACAGTTAGTAATGCAAGGAGGTATTTAAAGCCCCCCAAAGGCAGCAGATGGCACCTGTCATGACTGAGATGTCTGTCCTGTAGCGTCACACATCCCTCCTCATTAAAACACAATCATTGACATCATGGGCTTAATTATCTGCCAGTCCCTGTCACATTTGGGCTACCAATAATCCTACCAGACATGCAGCCTGCAGCTATCAGGCACTTTCTACACCAAGGGAATTTCCAAAAGTAATTCGTTTTCTGAGGTGCTTCAGCAAACTAAAGGCATACAACATTCTTCTAACTTTATCCAAAGAAATATGAATAGGACAGATCTCTTGTACCCATCTGTCTGGCCCCCTTACATGTTTTAGGATAATCAAAGCTAAAGTGCTAAGTTTAGCTCCATCAGATGGCTCCTATCTCACTCCCATTAGCAAGCCAGCCGTGCCTCATCACTCTCCTATCATGATACAATTCTGTCAGCACTAGTCCATCCATTTCTGTCAGTAGTCTGGTAGCTTTTAACAAGTGGGACTCATTAAGCCCCCATTGTGAAGTACATTTTGTACATCTAGACTAATGTGTGGCCCACTGGGAAATGTAAGATTTAAGCTTGACTTGAAATGGTAATGGCACCTCTAATTTGTTTTATAATCTATGATCATGACTAGCTAGAAAAGACATGTTTTGTGGTGATATATATATATATACAGAATATTGGTTGGTTGTTTAATGCATTTTTTGTTTTAAAGCTAATCAGTCCTGTAGTTGGGGGAACGAAAGTTTCTTTATTGTGCCTGTGGGAAAACCAGTAACAGGGTTTTCAGTACCGAGGACAGCAATGATTAAGCACTCTCTCTGTCTTTAATTAAAGAATGCTGAGTTTGCTTTCAGAAATGAAGGCAAAAGCCCATGCTTACTGACATACTATTTTGATGTTTCAACATTGAGCAAATTGCTTTAGGCCACTGCAATTGATTTCTTTGATATTCTGAGATATTTTATTAAAAAAAGAGTAAAAATAAAGGGCTGGGAGGAAAACTTGCTGAATTAATCCACTCCCCAAAACTGTGTGTATCGGAGATTCCCTTGAGACTCTGTTCTCATATTGATTCAAGTTCAGCATGAGCCTTTCCAGATGGAGGCATGGCTTGAGGAAATTTTATTAATACCGATGAATAATATTCCATCATCTGCACCAGTGCATTTGGGGAATAGCTATGCCAGTTTCTTGGAAATGTGCAGGATGAAAAATTACGAAGTGTATATTGTCCTTTCATGACAAAGAAACTGATGCTGTAGTGACCATATCTTCCTTAAAACCACAAGAAAACTTTGCCAACCAAAAAGTTACAACCATTTCCCAGACGACCCACTCATCAGAATGTCCATAAAACAAGAGTGAAATTGCCACGGCCTTTACACTGCACATCTAGCCGTGCCTTGATGGATTGCGATGCCGTAGGAGATAATATGCGCTCCTCTGCAAAATTGCTCTCTGTCAGAATTGCTGACGTAGGTTGTACATGCACACAGAGCTTGCCTTGAGGGTGCAGATTCATCCAAGGCTCTCGTAATGCAGCCTTTACTTCAGAGATGTAGACTGAAGGCATTAAGTAGAGGTGTTGTGTTTCACTGATTAATACACAATGTCATTAATGTGCAGAAGTTTTAATGCTTGGGGCACTTCATAAGATCAATGCCTAAATACCTGGTAAAAAAATCCAAGTGTGCTTCCTGTCACACCCTGTGAGCTGGATGTGCAAAAGCTGAATGTGGGAGCCTGATGCATTATAAGTTCATTGAAGAACCAGACACACTTGTTGAGTTGGTGTCTACCCTGCTTTGCTAATGATGAGATCCAATACAGCCCCATCACATGCTCTCCCCCCATAACATTTCGGTAAATCTGGATTCATGTTTGCGGTGGTTTTATTGTTATGCCGACCCGTCTACCGTGAAATCATGATACCGCAAATATGAGTTTCCACTGTTTGACTACTAGTAGTGTACCACTGATTGTTGCAACTGCAAACCTTTAACTTTTAAAAGTAAAATCATGTAGAAGTCCCCACCAAAATATTCACACTGGCAGCTATGAAAATTAAGACCCATTAATATTTGCATCATTATTACTACCATCTCTTAATTTTTGGCTGACAAAGTTGTGAAATTTATTTTGCTGACGGGTTGTCAGGTCCTAGCCAAACAACAAAATTATTAAACAGCTTTAAATCACAGAATACAGATTGGATGGCGACCTCTGAAATGACCTTGAGCAGTCATGATGGCAAGCTTCCGTACTTTACTAATAATTGGATGATTTACTGCTGGAATCTCTGTGATGTTCCACGGGGAAATAGTCAGAAATTGACGCATGCTTCAGTCAGTCCCAGCACAGCGAGGCAGATGTCAGACTGTGTGCAGGGATTAACCTTCTCCCTCATACCTTATTAATGATTTTTAAGCTTCTTGTGTGTTTATCAAAATGTCTATTTTTTCTCACCATGAATGCTGTACATGTTGGGCCTGGTTGGTATACAGTTTATGGGTTTATTGTTTAGGCCAGGGAGAGTTTTAATTTACACAAGAACATGTACTTTTGTGTGCAGCTATGTTTGGTACATGCACCATCATGTTCAATTCAGTAAACCATTCTCATTCTTACATTACAGAATCTGATATACACAGCTCGGCCTGGTCAGTAGTTTAGTTCGATGGAATTCCTAACTCATATCTTTCTCCAAAAATCTTTTAAAAAATCACAGTTGTTTATGTTGCAGATACATGTTAGGCCTGGTTGATATTCCTCAAGATTATGGCACTCCTGACTCCAAAAATTAAAAAAAAAAACTTTCTCCACACTTATGTTACAGATACATGTTGGGCCTGGCAGGTGTTCCCTCCCTGGTACAGTTTGTGGCGTTCCTGACCTATGTATCTCTCCAGAAATTTATAAAAAAAAAACTCCTATGTTACATTACAGATACATGTTAGGCCTGGCTGGTGTTCCCTCCCTGGTACAGTTTGTGGGGTTCCTGTTCCTGCCAGAGAGCCCCCGCTGGCTGGTCCAGCACGGAGACAACCTGATGGCTAAGATGGTTCTGAAGAGGATGCGGGGCGTGGACAACGTGGATGAAGAGTTCGACCAGATCAAACAATCGTTTGAGGAGGAACAGAGGGAGAGAAAAGATTTAGGTGAGTTTTTTCTTGTATTGTAAATGTAAGAAGGCCTGCATGAGTGCTTAGTGATTACGAATTACACAAAATTATCGCTGCCGATTACGAATTATGTTGAAGTCTCAGACCTGATTATGACTTTACACTTTGCAGCTAATGTGCTACTACGAATTACGTTAATTTTGGGGGAGATGGCCTACAGGTTACGAAGACTAAATAGGCCTGATTACGCCTTATGAAAAAGGGCATGCAGGCCGTCATGTAATAGACTTTGTGCTTTGATGAAAAAAGTAACTCAACTTGCCATTAAGTTGGTAGAAGAGATTATTTTGATATTTACTAGAAGAGATTTGAAATGCAGTATTATTGAGTTACTTCTGCAAAGTAATAGCTTCAGGGGTCACTTTGCTGTGCTTTAGATTTCCCAAGGGAGTTAAGTATTGTTTCATGCTTGTCTGATTGATAGAAAAGATTTAGCCCAAAATTGCCTTCACTTGAGTTTTCGAATTTGGACATGCAAAAGATTTGCAATGCTGCATAAACTTACTTCAACAGTGCAATTTTAAAAATAACTTTTTGCTGTGATATTTTCATATGTTTTCTGTGACATTCGCTTGAATTTTTGTGTGTTCATTTGTTCTTTTCTTCTTTCTTTGTGACTGAAGTTCAGAGGAGTCTTTTGTCACCAGTGCGAGGACAAATGGGTTAGTCATGGTGTATATCACTGGTGGTTATTACCAGGGTCTTAAGGAATTGTAGCACAAATGGCTGAGAAGTTGATACACAGTATTTGCTGTATCAAGATACACCTGCTGATTCTCTCATTAGTTTTGATGGGTGAGCATCTTGACGACTGAGGCACCAGGCATGCTGTGCCAGTTCCGGCTTTTCCTGGCTGTTATTTTTACTCTCAAGTCACTCATTTGTTTTGTCAACATGTAGAATATAGTGATGTGTATTTTGTGGTGTTGGGAAGTTACAGTAGTTATTGGTGATGGGCCACTTTCCTGGTTGTTAGACGTTGTAAAGTAAAAAGTTAGCAAGAAGCTAAGAAGCATCTTAGCCTTTGTGAATAGTTTCATCAGGTTGGTAAGTTAAAGAGACTATTTTTTACACAACCAAGTGTTTTATTCACAGCAAACGTTTCGTTGGCTGTCCTCAGAGCAATTCTGACAGGTTCACATTGCACTGCAGCACAGGTGTTGCTGCTATAGATGCATTCCCAAACAAACAAAAGTACCAACATGTATATGCACTGCATGGTGTGTATCTTTCCGAACTACATGTACATGTACACATAACACATAAAATTTTTAATGGCTTTCTGAAACATATCTCAGAACAATATGTATTGTAGCCTTTTATCTGTACCTGTAAAACAGCACAAAATCCCTCACAAGTAACTTTGGGATGAATGGATGGATTTCATGGCCTGCAATATAATTCTACTTCCATGTTTGCCATTACTAGATGCCTATCACAGCTTGAAATGAGAGAGTCCCTCCTAACTTCAAATTGAGCTGCCAGTCAGAAAAATATTATCAACTTTCACTCTAGCAGTATTCAGTGTAATCCCGTGTTGTTATATGCAATCCTACCCAAGTATAGATGGGAAAAAAATCCGGGAAGCTGCAATTTTCCGGGAAAGTGATTTACCTGGCATCAGCAGGGGATCTGTGGAAATCGTTTTCTTGGAAAATTACAGGGTGGTGCTGAGCTTCAGCTGAGACATGATATCCTCTACCCTGGAAAGCCAGAGTACAAGCGGGTGGCGGCTGATTCCTTATCGGCCCGCCAAGCACATATGCCCCGAAACACGATCCAG